TTCTCTCTGTCTCTCTCACTGTCTAACTCTATCTGTCAAATAAATAAAAAATTAAAAAATAAATAAACTCGGAAAAATCATTCCACCTGATATTAAGGCCTATTATTGCCGGCGCCGCGGCTCAATAGGCTAATCCTCCACCTAGTGGCGCCGGCACACGGGGTTCTAGTCCCGGTCGGGGCGCCGGATTCTTTCCCGGTTGCCCCTCTTCCCAGGCCAGCTCTCTGCTGTGGCCCGGGAGGGCAGTGGAGGATGGCCCAACCAAGTAGTTGGGCCCTGCACCCCATGGGAGACCAGGAGAAGCACCTGGCTCCTGCCTTCGGATCAGCGCGGTGCGCCGGCCGCAGCGCGCCAGCCGTGGCGGCCATTGCAGGGTGAACCAACGGCAAAAAGGAAGACCTTTCTCTCTGTCTCTCTCACTATCCACTCTGCCTGTCAAAAAAAGAAAAAAAGGCCTATTATTATAACTGCAAAAATGAAGACAGTGAGGTATTGGTGGAGAAAAAGATCAATGGAACAGAATAAAAAAACAGAAACAGACACCCAAATATAGTCGATTTTTGACAGGTGCAAAAGTAATGCAATGGAGGAAGAATAGCATTTTTCAACAAATGGTGCTAAAGCAACTAGATATCCTTAGGTTGAAAAAAGGAAAAAATAAAATAGGAATATCATCTCAACTCACCCTTTATACAACAAAATAAAACTATTTAACTGTTTTTTGTGCAGAGGAAGAAAATCTAAATATAGAGCTAGGTAGCTTTCTCAGACTGGACATCCAAAGCATAATCCACACACTCAAAAAAAATATAGCCTGGACTCATCAAAATTAAATATATCTACTCTTCAAAACCATCCTGTTTTAAAGACGATGAGAAGACAAAATACAGAAGAGGGAACAATATTTTCTAACAACATATCTGACAAAAACCAGATATTTAGCATAGATAAAAACAAAAACCTCTAGAAACAAAAAAAAAAAAAAAGAAGAAGAAGAAGAAAAGGAAAAAAAAATAAAAGCAAGCCAAAGACAGGAACAGACATCAGACATTTCACTAATAAGGATATCTGGATGGCAAATATACACACCAAAAAATATTCAAAATCAACAATTAGCAAAATGCAAATTAAAACCACAGTGAGATATCACTATATACCCACCAAAATGGCTAAAATAAGAAAATGAGAACACTAAATGCAGGTGAGAATGTGGAGAAACTACATTATACAGATATTTTTGGTGAAAATGTAAAATGCTACAGTACCTCTAGAAAATGATTTGGCAGTTTAAAGCTACATATACAATAACCATATGACCCAGGAAGAACACACTTAAATATTCATTCCAGGGAAATGAAGACTTTTAGCTCAGAGAAATGTTCATGTAGAATTCTGTGCATGGAATTGAGCAGCAACTTTATTTGTAATAACCCAAAACTGAAAATAGCCTAGATGTTTTTCCAGAGTGGGTTATTAAACAAAATAGTACAACCATACTGTGGAATAGTACTCAACAACAAAATGAACAAATTATTGATGTACACACAATCTGGATGAATCTCCAGGAAATCATGCTGAATGAGAAAAAAGTGCCAAAAAGTTACATATTATCCAGTTACGTTTAACACTCTCAAAATGATAAGATTATAGAGGTGAAAAACAGATCAGGGGTTCCCAGGAATTAGGGATGGTGAGGGGAGGGGTGAGGAGGAAATGAAGTATGGTTACAAGAAGACAACAGGAGGAATTCCTGTGCTAATGAAGTGTTCTGTAACTTGACTATAGTGATGGGCACAGGAATCTACGTGTGACAAAATTGTATAGAACTACATACACATACACACAAACCCTATGCGCATAAAATGTAATACAAACATCAATAACACATATGTAAAAAAGCAAAGAAAGAGTCAAGAACCTGTAATATGTTATTCATTATTTTGAAAAAGGTATTCACAAGAATTTTGCAGTATGCCCTCAAGAATGTCGAAGATCTACTACACAGTGATAGCTTTACTTACTCAGCATGAAACAGTAAACTGAAACTTGTCTCTAACTCTCAAATAAAATAAATCTTTAAAAAAATGATGTTTTATTCTAAACATTTTTAATACTTATTTTGTAAAATGTACTTCAAATACCCCTATTATTTCAAGTGAAGGATAGAGAACATTATTCAAGTTTTGCCTTAAGACACTGGGATGTGTAATTATGATTATCAATTTTTATACTGTGTTACAACACAGTGATGGCCTTGAGGGATATTCTCTTAGGAGAAGCCATTTACCCCTACATTAAGTGGCCTAATGTCCACACTCAGCTCGTTGATGGTCTTCTCTTTTGCTAGTCTACCATCACCTAAAATAGCAGCATGTTGGAGCCCAGGGGTCCTTTTGAGATCACCTAGTCCAAACCATTCATGTTTTACTAATGGTAAAGTAGAGGCCCAAAGTAGAGACATCACTTTTTCAGTATCACATAGCAAGCTAAATGGCAAAGGCAGAAGAAGCAGAACCTTTGTTTCTGCATAGTTCTCGGTGTTCTTGCCTCTAGTACAAAGTACTATGACAGAAATACCAGAAAACAAAGTTGTCAAAATACATAAAAATAAAACAAGATTTTTGGTTTAAGTGAGTCAGTCCTGCTTAATGACTTCTCATATAAAGCAAGTCTTTTTGACAGTTGTTTTGGCCCTAGCCCCTTTCACATAGTGATTCCAAGTTTGTGACCATGACTCAAAAGACTAAGGATGCCACAATCTGGCAAGTCCAAGAGAAGGTACTGTTTTTCCACGCTGGTACCAATTATAGACGAATGGATTTTCTCAACAGTCTTCCACCTCCCTGGACATTCTCTCCAAGCTCTTCCTGCTTACCAGGACTTTAACAGCTAACTTTCCCATGTAAATGAAGACATATAGAAAATTATCCAAGTTCACCTCTTGATCCACATTCTAACTGGCAACGAGCAGAACAGAGTCTTAAAAGGAATCTTTAACCGTTAACACATTACTTTATTTTCTTTAAAAACAGATAGCTCTTCATCTCCTGGTTCACTCCTCAAATGCCAGCAACAGCCAGCATTGGACCACATCAAAGCCAAAAATTCAATCCAGGTCTTCCACGTGAGTGACAGAGACGCAAGTACTTGACTCATCATCTGATGCTTCACAGGTTGTAAATTAACAGAAACTGGATCCAAAGAGGAACCAGGACTAGAAGCAGGCACTCTGATATGAGATACAGAAGCCCCAAGCCACATCTTAACTATTGTATTTTTTTTTTAATTTATTTGACAGGTAGAGTTATATACAGTGAGAGAGAGAGGACAGAGAGAAAGGTCTTCCCTCCATTGGCTCACTCCCCAAATGGCCAGCACGGCCGGCACTGCGCCGATATGAAGCCAAGAGCCAGGTGCCCCTCCCTGGTCTCCCATGCGGGTGCAGGCACCCAAGCACTTGGGCCATCCTCCACTGCCTTCCCGGGCCACAGCAGAGAGCTGGACTGGAAGAGGAGCAACTGGGACCAGAACCGGCACCCATATGGGATGCCAGCGCCGCAGGTGGAGGATTAACCAAGTGAACCACAGCGCCGGCCCAAGCATCTTAACTGCTGTGCTATATTCCTGCCCTCAACAACCTTTTACTTTGAGAAGTTCCAAAAATGAAACTAAGGAAACTAGGAACTGAAAATGAGATGATTTTGTCTGCACTGAAAAATCTCACCTTAGTCATCAGAAATTATCAACCTCAATTGTCATAAAGGACAGATAGCTGAGGTATCAAAAAGTACCACTCAAAAGGCCACAGTTTAACTCTCACTATACTGTAGTCAGATAATATTCAATACACACAAAAAATAATCACACAAGAAACTTAGCAAATATTTCTGATTTCTTTAAAGTATCTAACGTTTCCATTGAAATCACATTCTTTTGTAAATCTTACTACACCAGCTCTGATCAAAGTTAGTGAGTTGCACCTTTTCATATGGAATGGCATTTAGTATTATGTAAATAATACATAATATTATTATATAAATAATACTGACATTTCAAAGGTTGGGCTTTTGCTGAAAAATCACAGAATATTAACTATGTTAATGAAATACACTAGTGACATGAAAGAAATGAACACTGCTGACAAAATGAAGCTTAAATTCCCAAACTTTTCATGGGCTCAGGTAATGCTTACCACTGTACCACAACAAGGATACGCAAGATGACTGAAGATATCTTGCAGAATCTCTAGTGTATCGGATTTTAAATTTTAATTACTATCAAAGTACACGAGATTCCATGTTCTAAACTTCTGGAATCTGTAACTACTGCAATGACTGCACTTTACCATGATTATTATCTTTCAACCCATCAACCATACACTTGAAAAATAAACTATTCAAATTATTTTAAAGCAGTGAATTTCTCACTTAGAGGGAGACTTAAAATATTCCTTCTTCCCACTGCTTTATCATAATTTTCAAAAATATGTACCAAAATGTTATGGCCACTCTTTTTTATTCAAAGTTGTAATCTACATTTTCCTACACTGAATGTTATCTAAGAAGGATGGCACAGCTGAAAGAAAATTGAAGTATGACTAAATAATCCTGGAGTTTAATTTTGGACTTTACCTTTCTCTAGCTTATCTATCAAACCATATGATCTTTGGTAAATTATTTCATCCCTTGAGGATTCTGTTTCAAAAATTGCAACTAATTAGTTGCAAAATGCAACTAATACCACTACCCAATCCTAACACAGGACTGTTGTAAAGATCAATGGAGAAAAAGTATTTAAAAGAATTTAGTAAATTGTAGACATTCATGTAAGACATTATTACTGTTATTACCTAAACCCAGAACACTGAGAGTTACATTTAAAAAAAGGCCAAGTCAGCATAGCAATTTGACATGTAGCAACCAATGCCATACAAATCCTTATTACTGGTTACTTCTGAATAAGTGTAAAAGAAAAGTTTATCCTAAATAAATATTTCATACCTGGCATAACAAAATACTTCCACATGTTGAATGGTTTTATCTTTTTTGCTAAGACCAATGGCTTCTTCATTTTCAAGGACCTGTTCTTGCCACCGTGAACTTTCATTCGTAGTGTCACCATTTTCCTAAACAAAACACCAATGAGAAGATTTAATTAAGCTGAGCATTCTGAAACTAGAATTTTCTAAGCAAATTTATATCTTGTCTTAACTCATGTTTTCCCTTTTATCCCACCAAAGCTCAAAGAATAACAACACTTCAGAGTCACTGAAGTGACTCTAACAGAGTGTACTAACTTCAAAAGGAAAGAAGAAGAAAACAAAGTGAAAAATCTATGCTATCAAAAACTTGCTTTGGTTTAGAGATTTCTATCAGGATGTGTTACATTTTGATACACTCATTAGAATGTGGCTTATTTTTTCTCTTTTTAATGCCTGAAAGACACACACAGGGACAAAGACAGAGTTCCCATCTGCTGGTTCATTTCTCAAATGCTCACAATAATACTTAGCTGTAGCAGAAGTTGGGATCCAGGAACTCAATCCTGGTCTCCCAAATAGGAGTCAAAATCTAATCACTTGAGCTATCATCTATTATTGTTACTTCTCAGGGTGTGCAACAGAAGAGAGCTGGAATCAAGAGTGGACTTTGAACTCAAACCCAGGCACCCCAATTATGGAATGTGGGCATCCCAACTGGTGTTATAACCACTAGGTCAGTTATCTCATTTTTAAAAAATTAATTAGTTAATTAGAGAGGCAGAAGGAGAGAGAGAGAATTTGAGTGCACACACAGTCTCAACCACTGGTTTACTCCCCAAATGCCCAAATGGCTGGGTGGGGCCAAAGGTGGCAAAAAGCTGGGAACTGGGTATTCAATCCAGGTTTCTTATGTGTGTGGTAGGAACCCAATTACTTGAGCCATTACCACTATCTCCCAGAGTCTGCAACATCTGCAATGAACCAGCTGATGGGCACTTCCTCTGCCTCTCTCTCATTCTCTTTGTCAGTCTGACTCTTTAGTAAATAAAATAAATAACAAGCACAATTTATCATTTTAAATTGAAGAAAAGTTTTGGTAGACTTATTAAACATAAGCAGAAGAAGAAGTGAAGTACAAGAACTCTGAATGTGGAGACATGGAGTTACCAGTCTGAGAAAGAATCTTGTGGACCAAGAAGCGAATGAAGGGGAAAAGGACACAGTGACAGAATCAAGACCCTGGCATGAAACAAGCATTAAAATAAACCCTTAAAAAATATTAACCAATACCAAAATTTATTTTTTTTAAATCCTCTCACTCACCAAAACTTTTCCACTCAGGAAAACAGAGGTTTTCCTTTCAATTGTTGTTCTGAGAATTCAGACTAAATTTTCTCATGGAAGTACTAAACATGCCAATTATGAGATGGACCTGACAAACACAACCCAAGGGCAAGGTTCAAAAAAGGATCTCTGACCTAAACTTAAATACATGACTATTTTAAGCATACAGATAAAAAGTTGAATGTCTACTTATTAAATTTACTCTTGGCTTAATATGCAGTTTGAATTAATATATGAAATGCTACTTTAAAATACTTCACACTTCTCCACACACTCATTTCATGGAAACAGCATTTCACCGCATCATCAATATCAACTGTCTTTGTTATCATGAAAGCTACTTTTTTGAGAAACATACAACAGTAAAGCAATCAATGCAACTACAATACTTAACATGGTGCTTGGCATATGATAAACGCTTAATACATCAAGAGCTATCTTAGGCATAGCTAACTGAATGTAACTTTCTGGAATCCTTTCCCAATACTTTAAACTCTTTGGAGAGATAGCAGTTTCTGATTCTTTTTTTTTTTTTTTTTTTTGGACAGGCAGAGTGGACAGTGAGAGAGAGAGACAGAGAGAGAAAGGTCTTCCTTTTGCCGTTGGATCACCCTCCAATGGCCGCTGCTGCAGCTGGCGCACCGCACTGATCCGATGGCAGGAGCCAGGATCCAGCTGCTTTTTTTTCCTGGTCTCCCATGGGGTGCAGGGCCCAAGCACCTGGGCCATCCTCCACTGCACTCCCTGGCCATAGCAGAGAGCTGGCCTGGAAGAGGGGCAACCGGGACAGAATCCGGCGCCCCAACCGGGACTAGAACCCGGTGTGCCGGCGCCGCAAGGTGGAGGATTAGCCTATTGAGCCACGGCGCCGGCTAGTTTCTGATTCAATGTGTGATGCTCTTAGCAGGAATTTCATTTCAAGACACATTACTCATTTGTAACAAATTTGTCTTTTAAGTCAGTCATAAAAAACTGGTGAACTCCATAACATAAGCAGTTCCCTATATGATGCTGTAAACAATCTTCAGAAAGCTTCTTTGCAATGATATGCAATAGTTGTAATAATGATATCCTATGCTTAGAAAAAAAAGATAAATCATATCAAATCTATTTCTTTGCTTTTTCTATTGTTCCATATACATGCAAAGCCACCACTGACTGCAAAATACCAAATTAATGTATCTTTCCCAAATAATGGATCTTTGTTTTTTGAAAAAAGATTTATTTATTTGAAAAGCAGCCTTAAAGAGACAAGAGAAGGAGGGAAGGGAGAAGGAGAGGAAGGTAGTGAGGGAGGGAGGGAAGATCTTCCACTTGCTAGTTCACTCCCCAAATAGCCACAATGGAGGAGTCTGACAGAGGCAGAGTCTGAGTCAGTCAGAAGCCAGGAGCCTTGTGGGTCGCTCAAGTGGGTGGCAGGGGCCCAAGCATTTGGACCATATTCACTGCTTTCCTAGGTACATTAGCAGGGAGCTGGATCAGAAGTGGAGCAGACAGGACTAGAACCGGTGCTGATATGGGATGCTGACACTGCAGGCAGCAGCTTAACCCACTGTACCACAACACTGGCACTTCGTTTTTGGGTGTTGCTGTTGTTCAAAATATATTAATTGAAATAAAAGCTAGCAATATGTGGGATTTTACAAGGACTTTTTTCTGAATAATGATTTTGGGAGAAAATGTTGCCTTATATTTAGGCATATAGAGTAATTAGGAAATGTTATCAAGAATATACAATGTCCTCTCCCAGCAACATATCCATTTATATTTATTTACATTTTTAAAGTAACATGTATATTATGAATGCATCAGAAAAGTATCAGTTGGAAAGGGGGTTATGTATATTGCTTGTTAAATGAATAGGGGCTAGCATTGTGGCACAGTGGGTTAAGCCACAGCTTGCAACATCAGCATCTTACACCAAAGTATAGATTCTTGTACTGGCTACTGTGATTCTTTAGATCCAGCTTCCTGCTAATGCATCTGGGAAGACCAAGGATGATGGCTCAACTGCTTAGGCCACTGCCACCCATGTAGGAGACATGGATGGAGTTCTTGATTCATGGCTCCAGCCTGCTCCAGCTCCTGGCTTGGATATTGCGGCCATTTGAGAAGTAAACCAACAGACGGAAGATGGATCTCTCTCTCTTCCCCTCTCTCCCTCTCTCCCTCCCTCTCCCTCTGTTGTTCTGCCTTTCAAATAAATAAACGAAAATAAATCTTTTAAAATATAAGTGAATAAAAACAAGGTATCAATTGTGTATTACAGATGAATCTTGAGGTTTTTTTCTTCAATGTAAAGTTACTATGTGACACAAAATACAACCTAACAAATTAAAAGATGAGATAAGAACTTTACCTGGTATTCCTTTATCCAGGACAACAGTCCTGAAAAGCTAAAACTGGCCCAGTTTCCTCCATAGTAGTTTCTTCTGTTACAATAAAAAAATAAGAATAAACATCATAAAAATCAAGACACTGTTTATCATCAACAAAGCATCCCTGACACTTCAATCCATTTCATTTTCTAATGTTGATGCCTCTAAAGATCAAAAGCACACATAATTGGGATGCTGATACATGAGGAAATAGTAGTCTTAGAACTGGGCCTCTCAGATTCCAAAAGAAACTTTTCCTTATAGAAGGAGTTAAAAAAAAATGTATCGCACTGAACAAGTAACATGAATGTGTATGACTCCTGGGTTAACAAAAATAACTCAGAAAAAACTCTTGATAAATCTCAAGGAATGTCACTGAAAAACTACTCCGTTTTCTGAGGGCAGTTAGATCTGCACCATCAAATCCATCTCCCACACTGACACACATGGCTACTCTAGATCAATGAAATGTCCTGTGCTATTCTTAGCCTTCAGGACCAAAATGAAAGTAAATCACGGGCCATGGTTATTCACAGCAAGACTTTCATGATACACAAAATAGGAACATGATTCCTACTGACAATTTGGTGAGCTATTATTCTTCATTCTACAGATCTGTGAAGATCATCTTGTTTTGGAGAACCCAAGGGTCTCCTAACTAGGATCAGGAACAGTCATTTGACAGTGGTTAAGATGCCACTAAGCAAATCCACATCCCATATCACAGTGCCTGGATTGAAGGCCCAGCTCTGTTGGGATTCCAGCTTCTTGCTAATGTCCACCCTGGGAAGCATCAGGTGTAGCTCAAGTACTTGAGTTTCTGCCACCCACATTAAAGACCTGGATTGAATTCCTGGCACCTGGCTTCCACCTGGCCCAGCCCCAACTATTGTGTGCATTTGTGGATTGAACCAGTGGTTGGAAGATCCCCACCCCTACTCCCTTTCAAATAAATAAATATAAACACCGTTAAAAGACACTGGAATTAAGCAGAGATTTCTGGCAGCCAGAACTCTCTAGTTCTAATACCACATACTGGGCTTCCCAAAACAATTCACATTTATTGATTCTGTGTGGTAAGCCCCAAATGCACTTGATTCCTTCTACAACATCCATTCTGATTCCGGCTGGGAAAGACTCTTGGTTTTCTTTTCATTTTCATTTTTGCTTCTCTGTACTTTCCTTTAATGAAATACAAATTCATAAAGCCTCTTTTTAAAATTAAACAAAAAATTAAACCTTCAATATGATACCAAAAATTACTCTTCCATAATGTCTCAAATTTCTGATTTATTTTTCCTCACTGTTGACATGGCCCTGAAGAGAACAGTTGGGTGCTTTACTTTATTTTTATTATTTAAGATGGAGAGAGAGAGAGAGAGAGAGAGAGAGAGAGAGAGAACTCTCTGTTGGTTCACTCCCCAAAAGCCTGAAATCACGCGGGGTGGGGGGTTACTAAAGCCAGGAACTGGGTCTCACACATGGGTGGCAGGGAACCAACTGCTTGAGCCAACTTCTGCTGCCTCCCTGGGTATGCACTAGTAGGAAACTAGAATCAGGAGAGATGTCAGCTTTTGGTTATTTGTTTGATTTTGAACGAAAGTAATCACCATTTTGCTCTAATAGAGAAAAGGGTTAAATTAAAGTTAGGTCTATTAATACAGATCAAGATCATTATTTAGAAAGAACAGATCAGAAAAAGCATAAGTTCATACATTGGAATCCCCACAGTTTTGAAATAAACATAGAATTTCAGCTATACTGGCAATTCAAAATGCCCTTCCCCTCCGTATTCCCACAACCACACAGTCGCTAAAATGTTGAAATCAGAAAACCTGCCAGCTGTGATCCCTCTTATCAAAGAGAGCAGTGGAAGGAGAAAGTAGGCAAAGACAGGTATGGAGAAGTGGCAGGAAGTACAAGAGGGATGTTGGTATTGGTAGCTTTCCCATAGCAATCTATATCCTTATCTCCTTTTAGAACAATATACTTCTGTTACCTCTTCCCATTTCCAAATATTCAACAAAAGCAGAAAATGTACTAGGTGTTAGTGAAAAAAAATTTCTGAATCCAATGTCTCTATAGTTTTTGTTGCACATTTAGATTTCTTTTAAGCCACCCTAAGGTTCTCAGTGAGTAGCACTGGCTAATGGGTGAAAGCTTTAAAACAGAAGTAAAACGTTTTTGAATGGACATATCTATTCATAAAAATATTACCTAAAGTCTAACACTGTGGTTAAACCGAAGTTTCTTAGGGTACAGATATAAAACCTATTAATAAACTGTACTTTTTTTACTTAGTAAATATAAATTTCCAAAGTACAGTTTATGGATTACAATGGCTTCCCCCCCCATAATTTCCCTCCCACTCACACCCCTCCCATCTCCCGCTCCCTCTCCCATTCCATTCACATCAAGATTCATTTTCAATTATCTTTATATACAGAAGATCAATTTAGTATATATTAAGTAAAGGTTTCATCGGTTTGCACCCACACAGAAACACAAAGTGTAAAATACTGTTTCAGTACTAGTTATAGCATTACTTCACATTGGACAAATAAACTGTACTTTATCAAAATATAAACATGTTCACAAAATCTATCATTTAAAAAAAAAGGCCAGGTACAAACAAGGAGAAATATTCACAAAACATAACTTACAATAGACAGGGTAATAGAAATTTGGTCTAGCAATTAAGTTGCTGGATTTCTGAGGGTCTAGATTTGCTTCCTGGCTCTGGATCTTGAATTCAGCTTCCTACTAGTACAGACTCTGGGAGGCAGCAGGTGATGTCTCAAATAATTGAGTTCCTGCCACCCTCATGGAAAACCTAGATTGCATCCCTAGCTCTGGCTTCAGCTCAGTCCAGTCCTGGCTTCTGCAGGCATTTAGAAAGTGAACCAGCAGATGAGAAAGTTCTCTCACTTGCTTGCTTCTCCCCACCCTCCTTAAGCTCCCCACCACTCTGCCTCTAAAGTAAATAACATAAAAAAAAATTGAAAAGGATAGGTATCCAGGATATATAAAGAGCTCTTCCAATTTTTAAAATAGATATTCAATTTTTTTTTTTGACAGGTAGAGTGGACAGTGAGAGAGAGACAGAGAGAAAAGGTCTTCCTTTGCCGTTGGTTCACCCTCCAATGGCCACGGTGGCCAGCGCGCTGTGGCCAGTGCACCGCGCTGATCCGAAGCCAGGAGCCAGGTGTTTCTCCTGGTCTTCCATGGGGTGCAGGGCCCAAGCACTTGGGCCATCCTCCACTGCACTCCCTGGCCATAGCAGAGAGCTGGTCTGGAAGAGGGGCAACCGGGACAGAATCCGGTGCCCCAGCCGGGAGTAGAACCTGGTGTGCCGGCGCTGCTAGGTGGAGGATTAGCCTATTGAGCCGCAGCGCCAGCGATATTCAAATTTAAAAACAGGCAGGATGAGGCATTTAGCTTAGCAGTTGAGATGCCAGTTAAGTCACCTGCATCTGTGTATCAAAGTACCTGGGTTCCATGCCAGGCAGCTGAGTCCTGCTTCCTAATGCAGACCCTCAGGATAATAGTGATGGCTCAGGTGGTAGGGTTTCTTGCCACCCACACTGGGGACCTGGATTGGCCCAGTCTCGGACATTGTGTGCATTAAAGTGTGAGCTATTAGGTGGGAAGCCTCCCCTATCAACCTTGGTTGCCCTCTGCCTCTCAAATAAATAAATAAAAAATGGGTCGGTGCTGTGGCATAGCAGGTAAAAGCCATCACTTGCAGCGCTGGCATCCCATATGGGCGCTGGTTAAAATCTTGGTTGCTTCACTTCCGAGCCAGCTCTCTGCTGTGGCCTGGGAGGGCAGTGGAAGATGGCCCAAGTCCTTGGGCCCCTGCACCCCTGTGGGAGACCCAGAAGAAGCTCCTGGCTCTTGGCTTCGGATTGGTGCATCTCCAACCATTGCAGCCATCTGGGGAGTGAACCAGCACATGGAAGACCACTCTCTCGCTCTGCTTCTCTGTAACTCTGCCTTTCAAATAAATAAATAAATAAATCTTTCATAAGAATGGGCAAAGGGGTTGAAAGGATGCTTCACAAAGAAGTGGTCAATGAGTACATGAAAAGGTGTTCAACATCTTTAGTCACTGGGTAACTGCCCATTAAAATAAGCATTAAAAATGAGCATGAGAAATCAGTACAAGTCCACCAAAATGGTAAGCAAGATTGACAATGCCAGGTATCGGTGTAGATGGCCAGAATGCTCACACACTGTGGTGGGAGTGTAATATGGTACAAAATATCTGGCAGTATCTTATAGAACTAAACATATACCTCCTGATAATATAATAATTGCACTCCTGGACAATTACACATGAGAAAAGCATATGTTCACAAAAAAGACTTCTATGTATCTTTCTAATAAAAAAAATCCCCAAAGTGATAACACAAGTATCCGTCAAGCAAAGAAGGGATAAATAAGCTGTGGTATATCCATTGGATGGATACCATTCACCAATTAAAAGGAATAAACTACTGATATTACAACATATATGAATCTCAAAAACATCATGCTGATCGAAAGTCTTACTCAAAAAGAGTACCTACTGTATGATTGCATCTCCTATTCAAAAAGAGTACCTACTATATGATTCCATCTAAATGAAGTTCTAGAACAACTAATCTATTATGAAAAAAAAAAATCACAAGAGTGCTTGCGGATTAGGACTAGGATTAGAAGTGGGAGCAGGATTTGACCATGAAGGGGTATGAAAGAACATTCTGGGATGATGACACTATTCTTTATCTTGATAAGGCTCTTAATTACACAAGGGTATGCATTTAAAGCTACTAAATAGTATCTTTAAGAGCTGTGCATGTCACCCTGAATTTTATCTGAAAAAAAAATGTTAAAAAAAAAGAAAACTAGTGAATTCCAGTTAATGATATATGTGCTAAGATGACCAGGACAAAAGTTACTAGATGTGTACAACTAACTTCAAAATAAAAAAAAAATGATGAATGGATAATAGATGAATATATGAAAAGTTATGTGATAAAACAAACATACCAAAAAATATAGAATCTAGG